TAAAATACCATAACTAGCTTATTTTTTCTACAAGTATATAACTTCATCGAAAAGATATATGGAACAATAATTTTATTTGGAGTAAATTGAATAATACAATCAGATATCTTAATAATTTCAAATGATTTTTAGTCTGCTAAATTGATTTAAGCCAAATCCATGAATTATATACCTAAAATAGGAAAATGTGGTTGCATTGAAAGTACAAATAATCCAATAATTTAAGATTGATTTTCAAATTGATTCAAGTAAGACCACGGTTTTTTCTGGAGTAAAATTCTTAATTATAAATTTTTAAATTAGAGATGTTATTTTTATTATTAGTCATATGATATTATTTTACCCCTTCATTATATTTAATAGTTATTTTTTCATACGTGATTAGATTTAAAAATCATAAAACAATCTAGTATCAGTCCAAAATCTTAATGTCAAATCAATGATTTAACATTTTGTATTCTAATTTAAGGATTAGAAAGTGTAACAATATTTTTTTAATTACTATTTTCTGTTCTAGGGATGATTTTTAATTGTTTATTACAAATATAAGATTACATATCAGACGAAATGTATAATTAATATTGTAAGGAAACATTAGAACAAAACCATTCAACATTTTTACTTGAAAATTTTAAAGATTATTACCTTTCTAGTAACTTTTTTATATATTGTTGGAATCAGATTTATTTATGGATGAGTTCATATAGCATGACTGTTCAAACCATAGTCTTGTCGTAAGGAAAAGTAGAGATGGTGGAATATATTTTTCAATCACAATTAGACAAGGAAAAATTATTTTAAGCCGTTTGAGAGATTGAGACACAATGGTTCCACAATTCATCTTTTTTTTTTAAATATTTGATTTCGTTGGCAATTAAGTGTGGTTTGTCCGCAATATACTTGATAAGTATATTGTGACACGTTTTTCCTTCCTGAACAAGATCATGGCAACACATATCAGTGATAATTTCATTTTCAAAGATAACACCAATTATATCCAGTTCACACTTGGGACTGATTTTAAGAAGACATATATCCCAAAGAGATTTTGCTTCAGCTTCTTTGACAGATAAAACCGGAACAAACGCGCAAACTAAAACTACAACAATAAACATAGTAAAAGTTTGGGAGGTAGTGTTAGCCATTGTGCTAAAGCTTTCAAAATATCTCACTGATTCTGATGATATTCAAATAATATATTCAAAATGTTTTAGATTTTGTATATCGAAAGTAAAGTTTTTCTGATATATATATAACTTATCAAAAACACAAATAAACTTTTAGAATGGAAGTTAAATTAAATCTCACAAACATTTATTACTTTAATGTCTTTATAGATAAAAATATGAGGTTACGATGAGTTTTGGTCTACCATACTTATCAAATATATAAAACCGTTTGAATTAGGATTAAAACATACTAATTGTTTTTCCTTCGAAGTATTTAATATTATTCTCAGGTTGGAAAATAGAAAATTTCATATAAAATGAAGTTCAATTTAATAACAGTTATCTAGTTATATATGTTTTTGATTAAATGAAAAGCTTCGCATATCTTGCTTCCTTTTGAAAATGTATTATTATGGTCCGAAGTTGTGTTGAATAGATTTAAAATCATATTTATTCTTAAATCTCTAAATAATCATGTACAATTTCCAATACATAATATATTCAAATTCTTAATTAAATGGGCTATGTTTATTATTTAAAAAGACGTTACTTATTTAATAGGTAATATGACTAAATTTGTCTACGTCAAACTACTTAAAAGAAAATATCAAATCCAACTTAGATGTACTTATTTACATTTTAGTTTATGTGGTTCTTGAAAAAATAACCTTACAATCAAATATAAACTTGGTGTTAAGGTATTCTCCGACTCTGTGTATCGTAAAAGCTTCGAAAAACTTTCCAAAGATTATTGTTTAATAATCTTAATTTTATCAAGTTTGAAATATATCATGTCTTATTTAAGATGTTTAGAATTTTAAAAAAGAGTAAATACGAAAAAATACCATAACTAGCTTATTTTTATATAAATATATAACTTCATCGAAAAGATATATGGAACAATAAACTTTATTTGGAGTAAACTGAATAATACAATCAGATATCTTAATAATTTCAAACGATTTTTAGTCTGCTAAAATGATTTAAGCCAAATCCATGAATTATATATCTAAAATAAGAAAATGTGGTTGCGTGGAAAGTACGAATATTCCAATATTTTAAGATTGATTTCTAAACTAACATCCTTAATTATAAATTTTGAAATTAGAGATGTCATTTTTATTATTAGTCATATGATATTATTTTACCCCATCAATATATTCAATAGTTATTTTTCATACATGATTATATAAAAAAATCATAAAATTTTTGAGTATCAGTCGAAAATCTTAATGTCAAATCATTGATTTTAACATTTTATATTCTAATTTAAGGATTAGAAAGTGTAACAGTATTTGTTTACTTACTATTTTCTGTTCTAGAGATGATTTTTAATTGTTTATTACAAATATAAGATTACATATCAGACGAAATTTATAATTTATATTGTAAGAAAACATTAGGACAAAACCATTCAACATTTTTACTTGAAAATTTTAAAGATTATTACCTTTCTAGTAATTTTTTTATATACGTTTGGAATCAGATTTATTTATGGATGAGTTCATATAGCATGACCGTCGAAACAATAGTCTTGTCTAAAGGAAAATTAGAGATGGTGGAATATATTTTTCAACCACAATTATAGAAGGAAAAATTATTTTAAGCAGTTGGAGAGATTGAGAAACAATGGTTCCATAAATCATCTCTCTTTTTCAAATATTGGGTTTCGTTGGAAATTATGTGTGGTTTCTCCGCAATATACTTGATAAGTGTATCGTGACACGTTATTCCTTTCTGAACAAGATCATGGCAACACATATCAGTGATATTTCCATTTTCAAAGAGCCAATTATATCCAGTGCACACTTGGGACTGATTTTAAGAAGACATGTATCCCATAGAGATTTTGCTTCAGCTTCTTCGACAGATAAAACTGGAACAAACGCGCAAACTAAAACTACAACAATGAACATAGTAAAATTTTCGGAGGTAGTGTTAGCCATTGTGCTAAAGCTTTCAAAATATCTCACTGATTCTGATGATATTCAAATAATATATTGAAAATGTTTTAAATTTTGTATATCTAAAGTAAGGTTTGTCTGATATATATATATATATATATATATATATATATATATATATAAACTTAAAAAAAACACAAACATTACTATTACAATGGAAGTTAAATTAAATGTCACAAACAACTAATACTTTAACGTCTTTATAATTAAAAAAAGAGGTTACGATGAGTTTTGGTCCATCATACATATAAAGTTTATAAAACCGCTTGAATTATGAATAAAACATACTAAATTTTTTTGTTTCAAATTATTTAATATTATTCTCAGGTTGGAAAATAAAAAATTTTATATAAAATGAAATTCATTCAATTTAATAACAGTTATCTAGTTATATATTTTTTTGATTAAATGAAAAGCTTTGCATATCTTTCTTCATTATGAAAATGCATTATTATGGTCCAAAGTTGTGTTGAATAGATTTAACATCATATTTATTCTTAAATCTCTAAATAATCATGTACAATTTCCAATACATAATATATTCAAATTCTTAACTAAATGGGCTATGTTTATTAGCTGGAAAGACGTTACTTATTTAAAAGGTAATATGACTAAATTTTTCAATGTCAAACTACTTTAAAAAAAGATCGAAATCAACTTAGATGTACTTATTTACGTTTTAGTTTATGTGGTTGTTTGAACAAATAACCTTATAATCAAATATAAACTTGGTGTTAAGGCTTTCTCCGACTCTATAAATCGTAAAACTTCCGACAAACTTTCCAAAGATTATTGTTTAGTAATGTAAATTTTATCAAGTATGAATTATATCATGCCTTATTTAAGATGTTCAGAATTTTAAAAAGACTAAATACAAATAAAATACCATAACTAGCTTATTTTTTCTATAAATATATAACTTCATCGAAAAGATATATGGAACAATAAACTTTATTTGGAGTAAATTGAATAATACAAAAGATATCTTAATAATTTCAAACGATTTTTAGTCTTCTAAAACGATTTAAGCCAAATCCATGAATTATATATCAAAAATAGGAAAATGTGGTTGCGTTGAAAGTACGAATATTCCAATAATTTAAGATTGATTTCCAAACTAAAATCCTTAACTATAATTTTTAAAATTATAGACGTCATTTTTATTATTAGTTATATGATATTATGTTACCCCTTCATTATATTCAATAGTTATTGTTTCATACATGATTGTATTTAAAAATCATAAACAATTTGAGTATCAATCCAAAATCTTAATGTCAAATCATTTATTTAACATTTTGTATACTAATTTAAGGATTAAAAATTATAACATTATTTGTTTTAACTACTATTTTCTGTCCTCGAGATGATTTTTTATTGTTTATTAAAAATATAATATTACATATCGGACGAAATTCATAATTTATATTGTAAGGAAACATAAGGACAAAACCATTCAACATTTTTACTTGAAAATTTAAATATTATTTCCTTTCTAGTAATTTTTATATACGTTTGGAATCAGATTTATTTATGGATGAGTTCATATAGCATGACTGTCAACACCATAGTCTTGTCGTAAGGAAAATTAGAGAATATATTTTTCAATCACATCTATTATATAAAGTAAAGCATCACTCCTCCTAAGCAGTGCCACGTCGAATGACAGGTCATAAAGTCCACGTGTCACCTATAAACAAAACACAAAACACAGCTTTCAATAAGTCACGACATTTCATCTGCTCTCTCTCTCATTCCTCTCACGTTTTTTTTCCCTAATTTCTCTCTCACATTACAGATCTCATCAAGTTCTCTTCATTTCCACTGGATCTAATCTTGATTATTGTGGTTGTCTTAGACAGAAGGGATGGAAAGCTCCAGCCTTGCCGCTGCCGAGTTCTAGCCCCGCCGCTGTTGAGCTCTAGCCTCGCCGTCTTCATATCCTCTCTGTCTCTGTCAATATCCACACCACCACCCACCAAGGTTCGATCTATCTCTATCTCTCTCTCTCTCTCTCTCTACCAGATTAAATCTGAATTTGTTTTGTTTTGTAAGTCGGATCGATTCAACGCATACACGAGAGGATCACCCTCCCACGACCACCATGGTTAGATCTCTCTCTCTCTCTCTCTCTCTCTCTCTCCATTTATATGTATCTTTGTCTCTCTATATCTCTATTCTTAATTGGATTTTTGTTTTTGGTAAAAAGGGGTGGTGCAGAAAGCTTGACGGCGGAGGAGGCAAATCAGCCGTTGTTTCAGTGGTGGTGGTGCAGGGAAGGCCGCTGGTGGAGGCTTCGACTATAAGAACTGTAAGTCATATCCTGTGTATTTCAATCACTTCTATCCTCCCTATCATAAGATTTTCCAAAATTCCAGTAATAAAAAGGCTTCAAGGTAATTCCAAAGTTAAACTCATAATTCAAAAACTATTTCAAAAGCTTTTATTTGTGAGAGATGATTTCAATTTTGATTTTGTTTACATTTGTTCATGTATTGACTCTATCCAGAAAGTTCCAACGATTTCGTTTATGTAAGATGATTTCGATTTCAAGTTTGTTTGTTGATTTTGTTTCAATTTGTTTATCTACTGATTATAAAAATTGTTATTCTTTTTTTAGTCAGCCATAAAAATTATTATTCAAAGCATCGGAGATGATAGTGGAGTGAAAATTATTATTTTAGCAGGTTGGAAATAACATTGGGCCCGTCAGGACCACATGATTGTAAGGTTCAGGTTAGGTAAACCTCTGTTATAAATTATTTGTAGTTTTTTCAAATCCAGGAAACAAAAATACATTAGAATATTTGTGTTAGGTACTGCACCCTCTTATAATCCTCGATGGCAAAATCAGAAGAATCTTGAGTGCAAGCATTCACGGGTTGGTGATAACTACTGCTCCATCAATGAGGTTTGAAACACATAAACTTCTTTTGTCTTGGTTTGTGTAAGTTTATGTCTATTGGTGTTTTGTTTTGTCTTGGTCTGTGTAAGTTTATGTCTATTGTGGTGTTTTGTTTGATTTTCCTTCTCTTGACAGGCTGCTTCTGCTCTGGTTTAGAGTCCTCGAATCTGATTGTTGGTATTGATGTCACCAAGAGAAACGAGTGGACAGGTTAGACAAGTTATGATTATGTATAGCTAATGTTTTAGTCTAGATTTTAAGTGAATGCCGCTCTGATCTGAAAGATGACTGGTGTTTTGATTTAGGTGTGAGATCATTCGGTAGGAAGAGCCTGCATTACATTGGAACAACTCCAGACTCCCATGTTATGGATTCGGAGATGGTAATAACTTCAAAGATATCTTTTATCATTTACCTGCTAAGTTTTTTTTTTTTTTTATATCTGTGTTACAGATGTTGAACGTCTCTTAGATCTGAAATTTTGTTTTCCTTTTGTTTGGGATGATCCTTTGTAATCTTTCAGGCATGTCATGCTATTCATGAGGGTCTTAAATTGATATCCTTTGTAATGTTTCGGGTATATCGGATGAAGAAAAGGCATATGTATCACAAATTTTGGAAAAATGTCAGGACACAAGAATAATCTCTTCAAAGTGTCCAACATGATCATTGTTGCCAAGCCAGATGCATTGAGGATAAGTCTCTTGAAACTTTTCTACGAAGATACATGATACATGGTAAGTTGTTCCTCACAAGCCACAACATAATAAATAGCATGACTCTCTTCCCTGTCATAGAACCTTATCACCAAGCCCTCGATTTTTAGTTCTGTTGATTCCAAGATTGCATAAGAGGTTCTGTTGTAATAACATTATCTAAGAATGTTTATCTAAACTGAATTGAAATTCTTAAAAGCTGTAGTTGTTTAAGAAGTTGATGTCTGCTTAATTTTATGATGTGTATCTTTGGATGTGTTTCCTTTTGTATGTTTATTCACATGTTTTCGACAGGTATACTCGTGACACTCGGACATTAAACGCATGTTCTTCGTCTCTGAGAGAATCCGGTTTCTAAAAACAGATTCAAAACATCACCAGCGCCAGAAACGAAACCACTCGGTGACAACGACATCTGATCTAAGAATAGAGTTTCCTGTCGAGTGCAGGGAGACTAAGTAGAGCGGCGGTTGTTGCTGCAGGTGCCTACAAAGGTGATGAAGCAGACAATGCATAAGAAGAGAACGGTGGTTTCTTCTATGCTTCCGAAAGAAACCACGTCCATTTTGTAATATTGTTTTCTTTCTTATTTTGTACTTCCGAGCCTCTGTTACTATATCAGATCGGAAATTATTTTATGAGATTCAGTGAGTTTAGCGACTTTCATGACTCTGAGTGAAATAATATTCTTTCAAACCTTATCATGGAAATTGGTTAGTCTTTTTGTTATATTCTGATCATCAACTAATAACAACAAATTTTTGTTAGTTGAGCAACATGTGCGACCATATGGTTTCCCCATACCTTTTCTATTTTCTGGATTTGAAGTTGTGAATTAAATTGTAAATGTGGGCAAAATCCAAAAAAATAACCACCTCTATACTTAAAAGATATGTTACACAAAATCCATTACACAACTCTACAAAAAAAAAACATTACGTAACATACCCATAATACAAACCTGAATATATACAAATAAACTTAATAACTACCATTGAAAAAATTATAAACTTCAAAATGATTGTAAAATAAAAACAAAAAAAAAACAAAAAGGAACTTTCCAATTCCAATTATAAGATTGTCTTCTCATCTTTTATCAAAATAGACCAACTAAATAAAATGTACTTTTCCGTGGTTCCAACCACTAATTCTACCTTACTAAAGATCACAAACAAGCAAAAAATAGAAAATCACAACAAAATAACTTTAAACAAAAATTAAACAAAAATCTCGGGCGTAGCCCGCGCGGACCCTAATTATACAAGAAAAAAATATTTTAAGCAGTTAGAGAGATTGAGACACAATTGTTACACAAATCATCTCTCTTTTTCAAATATTGGGTTTCGTTGGCAATTAAGTGTGGTTTGTCCAATATACTTGATAAGTGTATCGTGACACGTTTTTCCTTCCTGAACAAGACCATGGCAACATGTATCAGTGATAATTCCATTTTCAAAGACAACGCCAATTATATCCAGTGCACACTTGTGTTGAATAGATTTAACATTATATTTATTCTTAAATCTCTAAATAATCATGTACAATTTCCAATACATAATATATTCAAATTCTTAACTAAATGGGCTATGTTTATTAGTTGGAAAGACGTTACTTATTTAAAAGGTAACTAGATTTTGACCCGTGCGCCCGCACGAGTGTAGTTTTTTAAAGTATATTGTTATTTTTTATATCATTATTATATATCATATATATATCATTATATAATTAAATCATATTTTATACATATTATCATATAAATAATCATATAATTAATAGTATTTTATATGTATCATCATATAAATTAGTGTTGAATTTGCGGATCGACCTACCCTGCTGCATGTTGAATCATTTTTCTGATTCAAAACTTTGATCCACTTGGCCCGCAAATAGAAACAAATTATACTTGCACCCACTTCGTTTAAATATATAGATTACCTAAGAGATCCACGAAGAATATTAAAAATAATTAATTTTTTATTTTTTAAAAACTACAATAATATATTTTAATTATCTTTTTTTTTTATATTTGTAATTTTTAAATATTTTTAAAATAAAATCATTTAAAAAAATGTCTTTTAAAAAAATATTTTGCGGATTGACGGGTATCCGTAGTTTAAATTCGACTGATCCACACCCGTTCCGCATAAAAATACTAAACCCGCACTCACCTCACTTATTTTTAAAAATATGTTGATCTTTGCTCTCCCTGAAGTGAGTCAAACATGATGAAGCCCATGTGTAAAGAGTCAAATTCACAACCTTAATATAAATAATCATATAAATTATCTTTTAAAATTTTAATGTGAAATATAAAAACCAATATAAATTGGTGTTTGAAATTGGGTTTTGTATTATATTTTTCTTATATATATTGAATACTTTTTTATAATCGCTATTGAAAAATGTTTTAGTAAAAATCAATTTTTTGAATATATATATATATATATATATATTAGAATCAAATTTTGCTATAAATTAGTTTTAAATTATTATTTTGATTTGAAATATGTATATAAATTTTAAATTTTGTATTATGATTATCTTAAACAAAAAATGTTTTAGGTAAATTAGATTGTTCCGTTTGCATATATTGTAAAGCTGGTCCAAATATATAGTTTATTATAAGATTTTCATTTTTGTTTAATAACTAAGTCCAATTAGTTTTTAATATACTGTAATTCCTGTTGTCAAACAACAATATATTCTTTTTATTATTAAATGTTATCCTTGTTTCCAAACAACTCTCAAATGTACTTCAGTTTTATTAATATAGATGTATATAAATTTTAAATTTTGTATTATGATTATTTTAAACAAAAAATGTTTTAGGTAAATTAGATTGTTCCATTTGCATATATTGTAAAGCTGGTCCAAATATATAGTTTATTATAAGATTTTCAATTTTGTTAATAACTAAGTCCAATTAGTTTTTAATATACTGCAATTCCTGTTGTCAAACATCAATATATTCTTTTTATTAAATGTTATCCTTGTTTTCAAACAAATCTCAAATGTACTTCAGTTATAATAATATAGATATGACTAAATTTTTCAACATCAAACTACTTAAAAGAAAAGGGGAGAATTTCATGTTTACACCTTCTTTAGTACCATTATTCAACTTTACCTTCAAAAGAGGGACATTTTCATTAATAACCCTAGGGGAGATCTCCTTGACTTCGCCGCAAACGACTCCTCGTCTCTCTATAATCCGATCAAAATCCCTTCTCTCCCGTCCCACCTCCTCCTCCATTGATCGCAACGCAATCTGAAACATATCCTTCTCCGGATGAATCTGGCTCAGGTTCCGATCGGGTCAGGAAGCGTGACCCGAGGCTGCTTCGTTCCAATTTCGTTGAAGGCTTGCTTCTGTGCTTGTGTCCGGAGCTCGATCAGAAGTTGGAGGAGGCTGAGTTGCCGAAGAAGAAGCGGATTCAGGTTCCTTGTTGTATAAGTGAGCTCAAAGGGTATCATAGAAGGCATAGGGTTTGTCTAAGGTGTGCTAACGCTAGCTTCGTTGTGCTTGATGGAGAGGATAAGTGATACTGTCAACAGTGTGAAAAGTAATGTTTCTTTATCGCTTTTGGGTTTCAGTTTTGCAGTCGTAGCTTTGAGATTGTGGTTGACTTTTGTTGCCCACAAGTTCGTAAAAATTGGGAATTTTCAATGCTTAACAGATACAATAGTAACTATCTTACTGAAAGTTGATTAAGGATTCGAAACTCTTGAATCTGTCATTAGGAAATCAGTAACTTGGGGGAGAAATTGTTGATCTGGTTTAATGATTTTCACAGACTATACATAGATCGTTAATCAACTATTGTTGTTCAGCATAAACTGAGCTGAACCGATTCACCTTGATCAACTACCAAGTAGTTAGTATTATTGATTGGAGACTTTCTTTGGTCCTATTGGTGTTGTTTCTATCCTTAAGAGTGAGTTAACTATGTGCCAGGTTTCATAGGTCTAGCAGTTGCTCTGAAGCAGGTTCGATCATCAAAATCTTTTTACTGAAATTATGTTCTATTTTCTAATATGTACCCATGAACTCCTTTAACTATCTGGTTAAGGTCTAATCTAGGATTTTCTTCTTCACTTTGATGATGTTTTTGACTTGTGAATCCACTTCATTGCAGGTGAAAACACCTGAGTATAAGTCATACCAGGATCAAGTTCTCCACAATTGTTCAAAGTTTGCAGAGGTGAGACATCTTTGCTGATTGTCATATTCTTTGTTGATATGCCTCTAATATCCTGGCATGTTGGAACACACCAGTATAAGCCTATTGTAATCATCTCATTTCTTGTTTGTTGAATGGCTTGTAATTGCAGACTTTTCTATCAAAAGGATATGACTTAGTGTCTGGAGGCACTGAGAATCATTTAGTTTTGGTGAATTTGAAAAATAAGGTACTTTGTCATTTTATCTTTTATTGTATGAACCCTTTAACGTTTAGATGAAAATGCTTGCTTTCGACTTATATGTTTGCGTAACCTAAAAACTCATAGAAATTTCTTTTTGTACGTTAAGCTAAAACAAGTATGCTTTCTTGCTTCTCATATGTATTCGTGTGATTTCCTTTTTAACTGACCACATAACCAAGTCTGAATGTTTTTCTTATGTACTGTGAACTTCATTAAGAAGCGACTAGGTGTCCCTAATTATCTCTGCACATGATATCGGAAATTGAGTATTACAGGGAATAGATGGATCAAGAGTGGAGAAAGTATTATAATCAGTACTTATTGCAGAAAACAAGAATACTGTTCCCGGTGACTTTTCAGCCATGGTTCCAGGTGGCATCCGTATGGGTAAGGCTCACTGGACGAAGTAATGTATTAGTATGTTTGAAATAAGAGAGTAAATGTTATTGCTGGCACTTACTAGTTGTGAAATTCTATTTTAGCATGTGATCTTAGAGACCTGATCATCACTGAAAGAATAAGTATATGTCCCCATCTTTTTTTCTTACAGGAACACCAGCTCTCACATAAAGAGGATGCATTGAGGAAGATTTTGCAAAAGTGGCTGAAAAGATTATGCAAAAGTGGCTGAATACTTCGATATAGCCGTCAAGATAGCCTTGAAAATCAAAGCAGAGTCTCAAGGTATACAAACAAGTCGTTCAATTTATTTATTTTGTGAGACGCTCTCTGAAAATTTGGGGATCTATAAATGGTGATGCAGGAACAAAGCTGAAGGACTTTGTAGCAACAATGCAATCAAATGAGAAGTTACCGTCAGAGATGGCAAAGCTGTGTGAGATGGTTGAAGAATATTCTAAACAGTTCCCAACGATTGGGTTTGAGAAAGAGACAATGACATACTACATTTCTAAGAGTTTATAAGAACAATATATAAATTTTATAAACCAATAATCTAAGAGAGATATTTGTACAATCTAAAACTAATATCAAAGAACATCAATGCAATCTCAGATTCTGATCACTGAATAAAGAGACTCCAGATATTTAAATTGATAAACCATTAGGATTTTTAAAAGAGACAAGAAAGCAACATAATCCAAAACTGAGCCCTTATAAATAAGTTTATATTTCTTATAAATAATTATGTAAACTTTTATAAATCAGTCATCACAATATATGAGCCAAGATCCGAACCATCAATAGCAAGATACCATGCTCGAATAAGACACTGCGTCTTGCGTAACTTCTAGATTTTCATTCTCCATCCAGACTCGTTCAGTTTCCCGTGGGATAATATATTTATAAATAATTTATAATGATTTATAAAATATTCACAAGAGTTAATATATTATATATAAAAGCTTATATATCATTTATAAAGGTTGTTCATTAATTGATTTATGAAATCTTATAAACTAATTTGTAAGAGATTATATTTTGATTTACAACAATGTATAAACTGATTCATAAGATTTTATAAATTGATTTAGAATATTTTATAAAACGTCTACTAAAGTCTATAAGTTAATTAATGCTTATTCCAATAATATGCAAGTATTGTGTACTATAAATTTCATCTTGGGGTTCTATCATAATTATTTATAAGTCCTTATGAATATAAAATTGTAATAATAATATGCAAGTAATGCTTATACAATTATTTATAAGTCCTTATGAATATAAAATTGTAATAATTACATCAAGGATTTTGTTACTTCGACCATTGAGTAAGTTTTGAATACTAGAAACTTCATTTCATGATTGTCTCATGTTTGACACAATCAGTGGTGATCTATGTCTTTATGTCTGCAACATAAAAACATGAACCCAACAATAGGTATACAATAATTTTATAAGACCTTATGAAAATGTAAAAGGAGTCTTAATATACCTCAGGGGCATTACTACAACCACCTTTATTTAGCACAATCAAAGAGCTTATAAAACCTTATAAAAACCATCTATAAATTTTATAAAACACATATAAATATTTATATAACTATTTATAAAGGTTTATAAAACTATTTAAAAAGGCTTTATAACTTTCTTGTCTCTTTTATGAATATATGTGTAATTTATAAATTGTTTATAAATCGTTTATATATGTTTATAAATGATTTACAAAGGTTTACAAATCCTATATAAAAGTTTATAAATCTTTTATAAAATCTAGTAAATTGATTATAAAGGTTTATATACCATTTTTAGAATTTTATAAACTATTTATAAGATTTTATAAATCATTTAAGGGTTAACTAAATCATTTATAAGGGTTAATAAAATCAATTATATGGATTAAAATCATATTAAAACATTAATCATAACTCCACTTTATTTATAAGAGTTTATAAATTAATTATACGAGTTTACAACAAAATTATAAGGGTTTACAAGAGTTTTATCATTAATAGTTAGTAATAAGTGTTTTATAAAGGTTTACAAAATAACTAATAAGGGTTTATAAATTATTTATAATGGTTTCTAAATCATTTATAATGGTTTATAGGTCATTTATAAATATTTATAAAATCATTTATAAATTATTATTAGTTTTTTAGAAGGCTTTATAAATTATAAACATTATTTTAAAGTCTTTGTAAGTGTACATTAAGATTCATAAAGGTTCTATCAGGATTTGTTAAATTTTTATAAGGGTTATGAAGCCATTTGTAAGAATTAATCTATGAAAGTTTATAAATCAAATAATAAGGATTTAATAATGAATAAAAAATGAATTTATAAAGATTTATAAAGTTTATAAGGGCTTATAAAAACAATTTATAAAGTTTATACACATTATAAGGGATTATAAAACAATTTATAAGGGTATGTAAAATTATTTATAATGGTTTATAAAACCATTTACAAGAGTTTTATCATTAATAGGTAGTAATATATGAAATATAAATCTATTTATAAGAGTTTATAAATCTATTTATAAGAGTTTATCAAAAGATTATAAAAATTTGATAATCTTCATAACACAATTTATAAGAGTTTATAAATCAATTTAGAAGTGTTTATAAATCATTTATAAATTCTTACAAAAATTATTAGTAAATCTTTATGAAAGTATTTATTATGTTATAATCACTTGCAAAATCAACAATCTTTAATATGGCGCTGAATATTCCCTTCCTGTTATGAACCATTTTTAAATTTTATAAGAGTTTATAAAACCTTTTATGAACCATTTATAAAATTTATAAAACATTTATAAATATTTATAAAGGTTTATAAAACTATTTATAAGGTCTCTAAATCCGTGTACAAGAACTTATAATCTATTTATAAGAGTTTATAAATCTATTTACAAGATTGAGAACAAAAACTCGAAACATATGCAGATAAAAAAAAAGGTATTAAACCTGAGAAAGACACATGAGTATCAAAGTTTCTCCCATGATCCTATATTTACATATTGATATCATTCCTTGTCTCTCTCTTCTCGGTTATACTCCATTTCTTGTCAGAAGGTTTTGAAATATTGAATAGTAGTAATGAAACTGTTTGTCACAACGTTGGCGATTCTTTTGTGTCTGTGCCATTTCAATGAATAAAAGAGTGTTACGATGGAAGCAACAATGGCAAAAGTTCATAAGTTCCATTCTGATAACACTTACTTGATTCCTTCCATTTGTTAGGAAACTGATAGATCTGAAACTTTGCAAGGAGGCACATACAAATGGCTTGAGAATCCCACAAAGCTCTTCATGATTGATAAGGTAACATCAAAACAATTTTCTATGCAATTCTGTAACGCATTCTCTTACTTATTTGCTTCCTTGATTTTTTTCAGCTTCTAGTTTGTCGCCAACAGCATTGCCTCATACGCTCCTTCAAGCTCCACAATGTTTGGCTGACCAGTTAGGTGATGCATTATATGCACTTCTCTTCTTAAATCCGCTGCAATCTCTTCTGTTTTCATTACTCTGCTGCATTTTAGCAGAAGAAACAAAGAACACAAAGGTTAAGTCTTGTCAGGACTAAAACTAGAGCCTGCTCAAATCAAACATGTAACTAATCAATGCCTTTCACTAAAACACATATCTTGCTTAACCTCCACTCTTCCTCAGTCCTCCCTGAAACCTAGAAAGAAACTCTTTCAAGAGTCAAGACAAAGATTAAACCCTTACTTTGCCAATTTCTTCAGGTGTAAGAGCACTTTGAATACCCTGCTTGTTTGCTAATATCAACAAAGATGACCCCGCAAGCCTCTCTGCCCATTAAAACCACCAAGATCAGTATCCAAAACTCATTCCACCATTTGTATACAGATCATCATCTTCGTCAAAAACAGAGACAAAGCATCACATTGCAAAGTTTCATACCTCTTCCTTCAAGAGATTGTCAAGCTCCATCTTGCAATCATCAAGCCTCCTGAGATCAGAGCTATCCATAACCCAAACCAACCCATCAGTCTGCTCAAAGTAGTTCCTCCAATAAGATCTTATAGTCTTGTGCCTACCCACATCCCATATATTCAGTGTATACCTACTCACACACATTTTCCATAACATGTTTGATGATATTCCTCAAACTAAAAGCAGTTTTGTGAAAAAGGAAAAGACTTTTGGTAAATAATGGCTTTGATGTTGAATCCAAGAGTTGGACTGATTGCACTTGTATCTTCTCCGTTCATTATCAGAACAATCGTCGTCTTCCCATAGTTATCGAATTCACTACAAACAAAGCACCAATTATCGAATCCACTACAAACACAGCACCAATCGCATTTGTTTTCCTGAATCAAATATAACTTATAAACTTCTGATAGAGTTTGATTATCGATTCCTCTGTAAAACTCAATCACAAACACTTTATTGAATCAACAAGTACGATTACACTCAGTATTTGAAAACAAATGAGAATCGCTGGCCTAACCCAGACGATTACTCCTCAAGACGGATCGTCTCAATCTCCAAATACTAAGCTAAGAACAAATGAAAAGCCTCAACGGCTATTTAACAGACACAACAGACATAACGGCAAAGCCGCTAAATGAAACAGAGACTCTCTCTTGACTCAAACCCTCCGTTCCAACTCAAGTCTCTGAAACGTCGGACCCTCCAACAGAAGTGGAGTCTTTCTCCAAATTCAAACCTTCTTGAATTTCCCTCTCACCTTCTTTCCTCGTCGAACGTTTCCTCCTCCTCACGTAACGATGTTGCGGCTTATCAATACCCCCGTTTCGAAACGAAGCTTGTCCTCAAGCTTGAACTCAGGGAACTGCGAACGGAACTCCCCGTATAATACCCAAGAGTTCTCTGTAGAAGGTAATGACTGCCACTTAACCAACAACTCCAAACCACCCTTGTCATTATAACGCGTCTCCAAGACTTCCTCAGGCAGGATCACTACGTCCTCCAATCCAGAAGGATGAATCGGTAATGGAAGGACCTGATGATGAGCACCTAAGACCGCCTTGAGCTGCGATACATGGAACACAGGATGAATCCTAGTCTCAGGAGGTAAAGCGAGGCGATAAGCAGCTTTCCCAATACGCTCCAAGACCTCGTAAGGACCAAAGTACTTGGCTGCGAGCTTCTGACAAACTCGCCTTACCACGGATTGTTGGCGATAAGGACGCAGTTTTAAGAAGACCAAGTCACCAACCTTGTATTCCACGTCTCTTCGATGTTTGTCAGCATTGTTCTTCATGAGTTGTTGAGCATGTGTCAAATGACTCTAAACATTAGCTAACAACGCATCCCTCTCCTGCAACATACTCTCCAAATCCGCGTTCTCCGTAGACCCCTTCTCAAACTTTATCAACAATGGAGGTTCACGACCGTAAACTACTTTGAAAGGAGTAGTTTTCAATGAAGTGTGGTACGAGGTGTTGTACCAAAGCTCTGCCCATCCCAAGAATTTAAACCAGGTCCGAGGATGAGAAGAAGCGAAGCAACGCAGATACGTCT